AATGGGACCTTTCACCCAGAGCACCAGCGGGAAACAAACGCGCGGCAGACGCTATGTCGGGGTCTGCAGTGGAGTGAAAAAACACGACAATGGAACGTGTTTTACCCGCGTTTCAGTTGTGGTGCTTCTCTGGTGTCTGTGACTATCTTTGTATTAAATAATTTAATATTATACCTATCCCTTTGACTGCTGATACCCCACACATGGGACTTTCCGCCTCCCAGAATAAAGACTGCTGGTATCCTTGTGGGATACCAGGGCCTGGCAGTAGGCAGTGTTAATAAGTCAAAAATATCTTACTTGCATTTATTGAGTGTTGCCATATATTAGACCATATTTTTTCTAGTCTCAAATTCTCAATTGGCCTTTAAATGGCCAGTAAGTTTGTAACCATCATGCTGAAGTGTGAAGTACAACAACTTCCCTCCAAGCGAGTCATGAAAGAAATTCTAAATTATATAAACTTTGGGACACGATTGAAGGAGGTGATATGGGTCGTAACTGACAAGCGAAGCATTGCATAAGAAAGGGTTATCACCAGGACAAAGAGTATACAAAAACACATTTAGAAAAACAAGGTATCGTCGCTGGCAAGAAGAGCCGGTGTTTTCAATATATTTACTGCCTATTACACCATTATTAACACTATAATGAAAAGAAACACTTCAGAATCAAACATGTTAATTGTAAGGAATTACATTACACACTTGTCATTTGTGTGACATTGTTATTAACCATGTTTGAATTCAAGTGCAACCTCAAGTACTCTACGAGTCGTTACTACGCAACACGTGAAGTGTTGGTCACGCGACCAAGGGGATTGAGGGTGAGAGGGTCTCAGATCAATACGCACCTCGGTCATGTTACTATTCCACCTTTCCAGCTCAGTAGCCAGCAGTATGTCTGCAAGTATTGTCTTCAATCAATGATGTACAGTGCCCTTACTACTTGCTGCAGCTGGTGACCATGAAGTGGATGTGGTTGAAGCCATTTTTGGACAGGTATACTCAACTCCTGTGTTTAGTTACTCAATTTTAGGGGCAAAATATATTGTATTTTTATTTACAAGTCAAGGAAGTTATACAGCATTTGATATGCTGTATATTCCCTTCAATTGAAATCCTGTAGGTAAATTACAATATTTTGGTGAAACAATAAAGAAGTTTGATCATGTTACTAGGCAGTGGGACTCATACGTTTAACGGTAGTTTACTTTGTACAATATTAATACAGGTACTGTATTCTCATTTTAATCTTATACCTAAAACTGCAATAGCTATATTTTCTGCAGCTGTATGAAGTGGATCATTGAAATTCTGTACTGCCTGTACTTTATATTGTCCATATCTTTAATCTACAATACATATCTACAGCCCCCTCAAAAATTCACCAGACAATCGGATTTCACCAAAGAATAGCATGGACTACATAAAGGAGTTCTACTGCAAGAAATGTTCAAGGTAAGACATAAAACATAATTGTGTAAATATTTCAGACATATTGTTGGAACACCATGCCTTTTGTAACCATTGCCAGCAGCACACAATAGGGAACTAACTGATCACCCACCCACCCAGCTGTCTACTAAGGTAACCAGTAGCTAAGATAATAAAGTAAAGTGAGCATGTTGCTCCTTTAGGTAACCTCTATAGTCTACACCTTAGTGTAAAGAAAATTTTGAATTTTTAAAACATTATCTTGGTGGTCTTCACATACCTGCCGTCTTTAACTGTGGTAGACGTGGACTGGTAAATGTTTCTTTTATGTTTGTAACAAGTATACCAAGATAATATTCTGTGCACTCTGATGAATAGAAACAAACCACTGCTGAACTATACTGCACATGTCTTACTCTTGGTAGGAATGGACCACAGATCATTGTCAAACTCAGGTCTGTTCCTGCTAAACTCAGGCATGGTAGAGATGGTTTGTTTCTTATCAGTGGAACATACATTCTTCTGAAGCTGTGGCTTACTTAACACATGTTTTGAAGAAGTACTGTAGTTACCTATTAAACACTGCATTATGTACTTAGTTTTTGGCATGTATCCTCTTTCCTATACTAAAAACAATGGTGGTGGTGCATATATTATTTTCTCAAATTTGCTTTTCAGTTTGCTACAGCTTAACTGCTGCAGAAATTGGCTTACTTTAGGATGTTTAAATTGAAAGGGAAAATTTTGATATACAGTACAGTACTGTACGGTACTTATAAGGAGGTAGGTTGCAGTGTGACTCACTACCAAACATCATAGGTTTCTCAGAGTCCAGTTTCTTCCTGCACTAACACTGAATAGACCAACAGCCCAAATGGTTAGTAAACTGATGTTTGATGAAATGATACAGTAAATATTAATAATAAAAAAAATCTATTGTAATTTCCTCTTCTTGAAGGTTTGAGGTGGACCCAAAATATACCATCGAGGATCGGTGTTATTGCGGACTTAGAAAAAATGAACACGAGGACATTCGAGATTTCATCATACCTGTGGACAAAGGGGTATGTAGACAGATTCTTTGATAAATTTGCATTATGGATATGAAAAAGTTCGGTGTGAATTAATGGCATGTCAAATTTTTTTATTGAGGGGGGGGGAGGGAGACTGAAAGTTTTCCAAAGGTGTGTAAATTTCAACAATGTATAATAATAATAATAAAACTGTAGTAGTATTTATTCAGTAAAATCAACATACAAGTTTATGATTGTTTTGGCATATATAATTATATATAGACTATGCAGGTAGTATACCATTCAGCAACTGTATAGACAACACAAGGTACAGTATATGGCGCACATAGACCAAAGAGATAGACAGTTTTCAATGTATACTTAGACAGTTCTCCTATTTCTTGGCTGGTTATAACCAATTATATCATCTGTTTTGTATTTCTTTTCCAGCTATATGATATACAGGGTGTGTACTTAATTCCTTGATTTCCTCCTTACATACAACTCAGTACTTGATTCCCTCTCTGTCCTTTCACTCATTCACAGTCTCCTATATACTTCATCTTTTCTTAACATCAGATTCAACCCTCAAGTAACTATAACAGCATGATGAGTATTTTTGTTTTGTGAGAAGTTGAGTGCGCTGCTTTTATTACCACAATTAACCAGAAACATTTTTTTTTAATATTGTATGAGATTATTGTTCCATATTCTGTCCTGAAGTTTGCTAGTGTGGACATTGGCCCATCACCATCAACAAGCAATGATTCTTCATCGATGAGAAGTAATTTGACTTGGGACCCTGAAATAATTTTGAAGACGTGCCGTACTGATGCTTATGGGATTGTGCATCTCAAAAATAACACAATTGGTGAGTGATATTTCTGTCACATAACATTTACAGTATTTGTCTTTATATTCTCTTAAAATTTAGGAATCTTTGTAATGTAATGTAGCAGCTGAGTGGATATATACAGCATCCACCTTCTCTCCAAAGGATCACTGAATCACAACTAGAGCCCCTCAGTATATGTGAGTGTTTGAGAAGAGAGTCCCGGACAACTTGGAGTATTTATCCCCTGGTGGTACTAATCATGACAATTATTTTCCTTACATCTTTAATTGTTACTTTTTTCTTGTAATATGATATATAATGTCACAAAAAAACCCTTGAAGAAAGAAACAACGGAAGGAAATGAGGAGGTGACGGGGGTGGGAGAAGTATACTAAGGCTATGTATCCAATATCTGTGTCTGTACTGCCCATAATTGACTGTCAGGGCTATAGGATCAACTTTTTCCTCGGTATACAAAGTTTATTGCTCTCTCCCTTTTTTTCTTCGTTTCAAACAGGATCATACAGACCTTCAGATTATGTGAGACTTGAAGACAACACACCAATGGATAAGGTTTTAAGGCTGTTCTCCTCTCATTGGAGTCTAATGATACCTCAACCTCCTAAACTTGCCATCTCCATCATAGGACAATGCAAGAATTTTGGAGCGTATGGAACAAAGAAGGAGAATTTTGTGTCTGGTCTCATCAATGTGAGTCATTACACTGGTTACCCAGTTTCTGTCTTTTCCATAATTTATATATACTGTAATTCCTTGTATAATTGTGGGAAAAAAGTCCCGCCAGTCTTCCGTCCCATCAATGAACCCTGAGACTCGTGAACCTCTGAATCCGAGACCCCACATGTTGTTGGGCCCATAGATGACTTACTGGGTTTTGTGATGTCTCGAATTCACAGGTTTATGAGTCTCGGGGTTTATGGATGAGACAGAGGACTGACAGGACCTTTTCGTGACTGTATCTTTAGAATTAAATAGTCCAAATAAGAAAAAGAGGATACAAGAGTATAAAGATTACATGGGTTTGCACTGGATATACATGTACTATCGTGCACAAAAGTCGTGCCCACTACCCAGCCACAGTGAGGGTTCGAATTGCCTTGAGTCTGAAGTTTCGAAATAGCTGGGGGAAATGCTATGGTCGGCCAACAAATGTCGCCCACTGTAGTGTGTGTTGGGGGGGAATAGAGGTGGTGGGGGTTAGTCTAGTAACAGGCTGTGTGTAGGTGGTGCATAACATCGTGAATTCCGCAATCACTGATAACAATAAGATTGTCATGAATATAGTTTATATTATTAAGCATGGTGAGAGATATGTAACGGGTAAATAAAAGCACTACAACGACCATATCTCTGCCGTTCATGGCTACGACGGTGAGACTGATGGGCACACCATTAATTAATTCTCCGTGACTACCAGCAATGAGAGTCACGGAGAATACACAAGCTATTACCAAGGTTGGCGCCACCCACACCAGGGGAAGGAGGTGATGCCGAGGTCTCATCCTACCATCGTCGTCACCAACAGGTAAGTCACATTAATTTGTCATAATAGCCCATGTCGTCCTTATACTTGTAGAGGTGAAAGAATTTGTGATATTGAGTAGAAAATCTTCTATACACATAAGCATTTTTCGGTTTACTTTAGGCGTGAGGTGGGTTGTAAAAATTACGCAGAGCAAAAATTTTGCCGTGTTATAATTTTTATTTCTTACCAATTGCAGCCATACTGTGTGCTGTTGTAACCCTTATTGGTGGATTACATTAGGCCTATTAATAGCGTGAAAACCCGTTTGAAGATACTGTAATGTTCCATAACTTGCATTAAACAACATCATACGTTCACGATAATAATAATAATAATAATAACAGTAATAATAATAAAAATAGTAATGGAAGTATTACGCTTATGCTAACCGTGGAAGCCAACTGCTTGTTTGGTTGTGGACTAGTTTAGTGACGTAAGAGCGGATCTTTGACGAAGCTTCGAAACTCATGACTATCTTTCGTTAATAATTATCAGTTTTATTTTAGCTAATGGTGGATAGAAGTGATTTAAGAAAATTAATGAGATTATAGATGACAGACCAATCGTGTATGGTGTTCTTTCCGCCGTCCAGTCGATTATTTTCATAGGAATCAGTAAAGCGAACCAATGAATTAAGGAATCGAAGCACCTCGGGTTCGCCACTCGCCAGTGATCATTATAGGTACGGCAGTGGTGGAGGCAACATCTGTGTGTGTGAGGTCATATAGTATTTGATCGCTATTTCCATGTTTTACGTTTGCTGTTTGTGGATTACCTCGTGTTTGTGGCGTCGTGAGGACTTCCAGGACTCTACGTTGTGGTTATTAGCAGTTGAGTGAAGGTAAGGTGATAAGTTGTGTTGTTATGTGGATAGACAGATAATACTGCTATTAAGATGGCTATTAAACTAAGCTAATATGTGGATATATGAATAAAATCCTAGAATTAGTATCGGTACATTGTTGTTGCAGTGCGGGGTACGTATCCACCTGTACTGGGACCTTGATTTTGTATGAATTTATTGAGTAAAAATCATACATACATACATGAGGGTTATCGGCCTGGTTGTTTCATGTTAAACACCTTGTTCAGTTGAAGTTTTTGTTAGGGTAAGAGTGGTAGGTATCGTCACCGGGGCCCATATGCTGCTATTGCTGAAGTAAATTATGTAATGGGATCACTAACCAACATTTCCAATATAATTATTTGCCCTTGATAGTGTAAATACCTAGCGCGCCACTTGGATCAATTCAATTTCAATTGTTTATTCCTTGATAGAGGAAGCGGGATCCTAGTGCTGTCACTAGGTACCCCTGTACAATAACACCAGAAGCATCTGGCAAGTGTCACAAGTATATACAGTATAAATATTATAAAGGGGCTTACTAAAGCCTAAGGAAGGAAGGAAGGATATTCCTTTAACACATAATCAATGTTATTTACATAATATCTGGCCAGTATGGGGAGGATCATCGTGTCTCCGTCAGGGGGTCGGGGAGTGGAGGTCCAGAAGGCGTCACGGAAGCGTTGTGTGTGGGGACATCTTAGGAGGTAGTGGATAAGGGTGCGGCTGTCGGGTCTTCTGCATAATGCACAAGAGCGTTGCTCAGGGGATGCGGGGATACCAATCTCCCAAGCAAAGTCATACCCAATGATGATACGGGCAGCAATCACGTCCCTTTTCCGCGACCCTTTCCCATAGACATACGAGAGGTCAGGAAGCTTACGGAGGACATCGTACCAGGTGGGCGGGGAGTCCAGGGGGATGGCTGCTTCCCGAGCTTCTCTCTGTTTGCGGCGAATTTGGGTCCTAAGCTGTAAAAGTGTTCGAGGAACAACGTAGTCAGGTGTGGCCTTGTTGCAGCCAGTCTTGGCAAGGCCATCTGCTGCCTCATTCCCCAAGATACCGACATGACTGGGTATCCATAGGAATGTCACAGGACGGCCTGCATCCTGAAGTGTGGATGTTAACCCTCGTATTCGGAGGATGAGGTCCTTATTTTCCCCTGATCCAAATGCGATCCCGTCGAGAGCAGACCTGAAATCGTAGCAGACAAGCAAGGGGCAGAAACCATCTGCTTCTTCCTCAGCGAGAAGGGCAGCAACGAGTGCTGTTAGTTCCGCCTGAGTGGAGGATGCCCCGTCAGAAACTCTGAGAGACAGTTTGATAGGCTCAGAGGCATCAGGACGGGAGATGTAGACACCAGCCCCGGCCCGACCTGTAGCGGGGTCAACAGAACCATCAGTGTAGAGGACGACCCTACCTGGGGACCAGTGGGCGATCCTGGAGAGGTGGTATTTGCAGAGAATAACAGGGTTCACGTGGGATTTCGGGAGCGGTCCACCAAGGGCAATCACTTCAGGTTGAAAATCCAGCCAGGGAGGAGACGACGAACCAACAGCAGGGGTTCACTTGGATCATGGGTTGTATATCGTAACGTGCTTATTTCTCTCACACAAGTCCAGGGTTCGAATCGCCTCTGGTGTAAATGTGTGTCTGACGTAACACGATTTCCGGTTTTCGCCTGCACCAACATTGGATAAACTAACCACCCAGATGGCAGCTCGAGGCAAACGTCAGAGATGTTGATGGGTAATGTAAACTGTTGTACACTGAAGAGGAAAAATAAGAGATAACTGTATTATATACTGATGGAAAAAAGAACAAAATATTGGTATTGAGGGAAAGGTGTTTGTTGATCAAGTAACCCAAATTTAGGAGCACATTTCAGTATTAGTAGTATGGATAGATCTACGTAGTATTAGTTAAGGGCTGCAAATTGGTGCCATCTTTTACTGTAATAATACAAGACTAATACCATATGTTGGAGTTTGATAAACTTTATATAGGAGCAACTTTTCTAGACTATTACACATTCTAAATTGCAATTTAAAATATGTATGCCCTTTTTGACCCGATCTAATGTTGACACTGGTGTATATACTATTCAACACAGTATGGTGGCTCACTGGCAAGGTACCTGTTGTGGATGATGGAGGCCTCGGGTTCGACTGCCAGATGGACTGAAGTCGTGTTGAACTGGACGAGGCAGAGACAGGATTTTGAATGGTTCGTAAGTAAAATTTATGTTTTACCAGTGATGTTGGGGCTGGTGCAATGGAATTACTCTACTAAAGAGAAAGAAGCTGTGGCTCTGCTTATGGCACTGGAAAAGTTTAACATATATCTTGGCAACACCTACCAGAGAATTGTAGTTTACAGTGACCATAATTTATTACAATTAAGAAGTCGAATGAAAAACAAGAATCAGAGACTTATAGATGGTGATTAATTGCAGGAAGGACTTGGTATGTTGTGTAGGAGTGAGGGAAGGACTTGGTATGTTGTGTAGGAGTGAGGGATGGATTGGTATGTTGTGTAGGAGTGAGCGATGGCCTTGCAGTATTGTGTAGGAGTAAAGGAAGGACTTGGTATGTTGTGTAGGAATGAGGGAAGGACTTGGTATGTTGTGTGGGAGTGAGGGAAGGACTTGGTATGTTGTGTAGGAGTGAGGGAAGGACTTGACTTGGTATGTTGTGTAAGAGTGAGGGATGGACTTGGTATGTTTTGTAGGAGTGAGGGATGGACTTGTAGTACTGTGTAGGAGAGAGGGAAGGACTTGTATGTTGTGTAGGAGTGAGGGAAGGACTTGGTATTTGTGTAGGAGTGAGGAAATGGACTTGCAGTATTGTGTAGGAGTGAGGGAAGGACTTGTATTTGTGTAGGAGTGAGGGTGGGACTGTGTAGTATTGTGTAGGAGTGAGAAATTGACTTGGTATGTTGTGTAAGAGTGAGGGAAGGATTGGTATGTTGTGTAGGAGTGAGGGAAGGACTTGGTATGTTGCGTAGGAGTGAGGGAAGGACTTGGTATGTTGTGTAAGAGTGAGGGATGGACTTGGTATGTTTTGTAGGAGTGAGACTTGTAGTATTGTGTAGGAGTGAGGGATGGACTTGTAGTATTGTGTAGGATTGAGGGAAGGACTTGTAGTTTTGTGTAGGAGTGAGGGAAGGACTAGTAGTATTGTGTAGGAGTGAGGGAAGGACTTGTAGTAATGTGTAGGAGTGAGGGAAGGATTTGGAGTATTTTGTAGGAGTGAGGGAAGGACTTGTAGTTTTGTGTAGGAGTGAGGGAAGGACTTGTAGTATTGTGTAGGAGTGAGGGAATTACTTGCAGTATTGCTTAGGAGTGAGGGAAGGACTTGCAGTATTGTGAAGGATGTTGTGTAGGATGGTTGTGTAGGAGTGAGGGATGGACTTGGTATGTTGTGTGGGATTGAGGGATGAACTTGTAGTATTGTGTAGGAGTGAGGGAGGGACTTCGTATGTTGTGTATGATGATCCTGTAGATGTGACATTGTCTAGTATGTTATATATATTAATTTATAATAAGTATATAATAAGTAAATCAGCTTAACGTGGTGCATTTGTTAAGTAAAATAGTATGGTAATTGGCGGCATGGTATCCACATTGCGTAGGTCATGGCAACTGCAGGGAGGTAGACGAGCCTGGCTGGTGGTAGTGTGTGGTGCAAGTGTGGTACAATTTGTCTGGACTCAGGATATATTTATATGGAGATAAGTATTGTATACCTTTGTAC